AGCCGACCAGGTGGTTCCGCCCCAGGCGCCTGATGGATCCTGATAGGTTCCAGATGGAGCTTGGGCCATTTCCTGAAACTCTAGCTCACGACTCGGCTGATGACCTGGTGGCCGCCTGGGATAGTGCGGCTGCCGGGGCTTTGGACCGGGTCGTGCCTTTGCGGCCTCTGACCCGGCACCGAACTCACTTAGCTCCTTGGTTCTCCGAGGAGCTGAGAGAGATGAAGTGCCGGAAAAGACGCCTAGAGAGCGGTTGGAGGGCCAGCCGTTCCGAATCTGACTTGACACTGGTAAGGTCTCATATTAAGACCTACCTAGTGGGGATAAAAGCGGCGAAATCTAGCTATTTTGCCGCTCTTATCGCGTCATCAGATAACCGCCCAGCCGCCCTGTTCAGGGTGACCCGCTCCCTCCTCCATCTGGGAGCGCGGGAAGACCCCTTGCAAGGCCGAGCTGAGGATTTTGTACAGTATCTGGATGATAAAATAACTCAGATTCGGGAAGACTTGGCCGCTGACTGGGTTAGTTCAGACGAGATGACTGAGGCAGGCCTTGAGAGTGTTATCTGGGAGGAGTTCAATCCTGTGGCTCCCGAGGACGTGGACAGGATCTTGGGACGGCTGAATGCCACCACATGTTTATTGGACCCGTGTCCCTCCTGGTTGGTGCTGGCTTCCCGGGGGGTTACACGAGGCTGGCTCCAGGGAATTATCAACGCTTCTTTGAGTGAGGGTGTCCTGCCGGCCGCCTTGAAAGAGGCGGTGGTGAGGCCTCTCCTCAAGAAGCCATCCCTGGATCCGGCTGTTTTGGCTAACTATCGTCCAGTCTCCAACCTTCGCTTTATTGCGAAGGTTGTTGAGAGTGTGGTGGCGCGACAGCTTCCACAGTACCTGGATGAAGATGTCTATTTGGATCCGCTCCAGTCCGGCTTCAGACCTGGGTACAGCATGGAAACGGCATTGGTTGCGTTGGTGGATGATCTCTGGAGGGCTCGGGATAGGGGTTATTCCTCTATCCTGGTCCTGTTAGACCTCTCAGTGGCTTTTGATACCATCGACCATGGTATCATGTTGCGCCGGCTGGAGGGACTGGGAGTGGGGGGCACCATTTTGCGGTGGTTCTCCTCCTATCTCTCCAACCGGTCACAATCCGTGTTGACAGGGGGGCAGCAGTCGACCCCGAGGCGCCTTGTTTGTGGGGTGCCACAAGGGTCGGTCCTCTCGCCCCTCCTGTTCAACATTTATGTGAAGCCGCTGGGCGAGATCATCCGTGGTTTTGGGGTGGAGTTCCATCAGTATGCTGATGATACTCAGCTGTACATCTCCACCCCAGACCATCCCAACGATGCCTTGGAAGTGATGTCCCAGTGCCTGGAGGCTGTGCGGGTCTGGATGGGGAGAAACAGGCTTCGACTCAACCCTTCCAAGACCAAGTGGCTGTGGCTGCCAGCGTCCCGGTATAGCCAGCTGACGCCATCGCTGGTTATTGGGGGCGAATCACTGGCCCCCACGGAAAGGGCCCGCAACTTGGGCATCCTCCTGGACGCACGGCTGTCTTTAGAAGGGCATATGACGGCCGTGGCCAGGGGGGCTTTTTATCAGGTTCGCCTGATACGCCAGTTGCGCCCCTTTCTGGATCGGGACTCCCTATGCACAGTCACTCAAGCACTCATCACCTCTCGTCTGGACTATTGTAACACTCTCTACATGGGGCTCCTCTTGGGGTACACCCAGAGGCTCCAACTGGTGCAGAATGCGGCTGCACGGGGGATTATGGGAGCGACGGGGCACTCCCATGTGACTCCTCTCCTGCGCGAGCTGCATTGGCTTCCGGTGGACTTCTGGGTGCGCTTCAAGGTGTTGGTGATCACCTTTAAAGCGGTCCATGGCTTAGGGCCAGGGTACTTACGAGACCGCCTTCTGCCACCAATAGCCTCCCACAGGCCAGTTCACTCCCACAGAGAGGGCCTCCTCAGGGTGCCGTCGGCTAGACAATGCCAGCTGGCGACCCCCAGGAGGAGAGCCTTCTCTGTGGTGGCACCTACCCTTTGGAACAATCTACCCCCAGAGATACGAGTGATCTCCGACCTCCGGACTTTTCGTCGGGCCCTAAAAACTCATCTCTTTCAGTTAGCCGGTCTCTCTTGATTTTATGATTTTATGGTTGATTTAAAATTTTGATATGGATTTTAAATTGATAAATTTTAAACTATGGGCCAAATTTAATTATTTTAAATCTATTTTTAATCGCACTTTATGTATAAATGTTTTATTTTGGCTGTTCACCGCCCTGAGTCCGAAAGAAGGGCGGTATAGAAATTTGAATAATAAATAAATAAATAAAATAATTTTATTCATTCTACCCATAATGGAGGAACGGTTGGTGAAGATGACAGAATAGGCAGAAATGGCAAAATTGACTCGCTTTAGGGAGAAGACCATAAATTATCATTTATTACACAACAATAAAGATAATATACCATAAATACATTTATCATTGACTAGAAACTATGAACTTTTTGCTGAAAATGGAGAAAAAATGAACTGTTGGCTTATGGATGATAAATGATTAGGAATCCATTTCTATTTTCTTGTGGGATCATGTTGTCTGACCGGTGTTTGATCTCTAACCCCATTTACCTTTTCATATATCCAAGGATCCAATTTCCTCCACTTTTAACATCTTCCAGGTATAAATCTGGTATAAACAATTTGCTTCATGCTAATTGTATTTAGTTTCCAAAACTACTGTAACCTCCTGGATACAACGGAATTTCTTAAAACCAGTCCTCAGCCAACTGTCAGGTGTGAAAGATCAGGTCCACAGATGAAGGTCCAATTAAAGTGATTTATTGCTAATCGTACCTCTGCACAAAAATTGTCCCAAACAACCATTAACACCTGCTTGGGGTTAAATAAAAGTCAACATAATTCAAGGGAAGTTGGACTCTCTTGTAGCAATGTAGAGATTCTAGGCTGCTCCCTGTTTTAACTACACCCCCAGCAGGGGTGGGTTCTAACCAGCTTTACTACCGGTTCTCTTTGTGCGCATGCTTTGCGTGCGATCGCCTCTTCGGTTGCGCGCTTTGTGTGCGATCGCCACATGTAAGCTCGCTTTGCTCGCCTGCACGCCAAACTTGTGCTTTTCACAAGCGCATTGCAAATCTGCCCAGCTGAGGTGCGGCAATCCGCTCTGCTGCACCTCTCAGCTGGGTGAAAAAAGAAGAAATATAAGGTCGGAATAACGCGGGGGCAGGCGGGAGGACCCAGCTCCCGAAGAAAGAGAACCGGTTCGGTGACGTAATAGCGTCACCGCTACCGGCTCGGCCGAACCGGGAGCAACCCACCACTGACCCCCAGGTGCTGCCACTCCTTCTCCTATACCATCTCCACCCCGGATAAGAGGGCATGTTGTGGGTACCATCAGTTAGGGGCCTAATGTGATGAGTCCCAGGAGATGTGCCTTCTCTGCCATGGTGCTCTCCTTATGAAACTCTCCCCCCAACAAAAAAAAAGATTAACTCCTCTCTTTTGATGTTCCAGAAGCCTCTCAAGATCAGAGATATGCTTAGATGGCTCCGTCGCTAAAGTGACCATTCTTATCCTACCTTTGCATAGGATTTGGTATATTTGTTTTTATGGTAATTTTTTTTTAATTTGGATTTTACTTGTTTATATTTCTTGCTTTTATACCTGTTGTTATTTGATTGTTGTACTCAGCCCAGTCACCTTTTATGAGATGGGTGTCTGTACAGATTAGAAAGAGAGAGAGAGAGAGAGAGAGAGAGATAAGAGAGATAAGAGAGAGAGAGAGAGATGAGAGAGAGAGAGAGAGATAAGAGAGTGTCGAGCCCGACATCAGTACTATGGCGGAAGTACTATCGGCTCGGAAAGGAGGAAATGAGGAGCAGCTGTGAAAGATAAATGTATGGGGCGTGGGCGCGGTCAGCACGCTGCTTTAAAAAGCATTGACTAAACCTAACATTCAGCACTGACTTTGTTACATCTGTACTTGGCTTTTCCCTGATACCCGACCGTTGCGGATTAGAGATTGTTTGGCTAAACTCTGTTTTCCCGTTTGGTGATTCATCTGAAGAGCCGCCCAGCCGCAGATCAGAAGAACCGAGAGAGAGAGAGATAAGAGAGAGAGAGAAGAGAGAGAAAGATGAGAGAGAGAGAGAGAGAGAGAAGAGAGAGAGAGAGAGAGAGAGAGAGAGAAGAGAGAGATGATAGAGAGAGAAGAGAAAGAGAGAAGAGAGATAAGAAAGAGAGAGAGAGATGAGAGAGAGAAGAGAGAGAGACAAGAGAGAGAGAAAGATGAGAGAGAGATGAGAGAGAGAAGAGAGAGAGAAGAGAGAGAGAGAGAAGAGAGAGAGAGAAGAGAGAGATGATAGAGAGAGAAGAGAGAGAGAGAAGAGAGATAAGAGAGAGAGATAAGAGAGAGATAAGAGAGAGAGAGAAGAGAGAGAGAGATAAGAGAGAGTGATGATAGATATAGAGATAGATCTAAGTCCAATAGCCCTGTATCTATTAATCCAGAACCAAAACAGAATGATCGAAATTAAAGTAGTAATCTCTATATATTTGAGAGATTCCCCAGCTCTGTAAAATTATCATCTTGGAAAAGAAAGCTTACTATCCACTCCCTCCCACATGGACATAATAATCCTGGGGTCAGTGAGTGAATCATTGTGGGAGTTGAAGTTCAGTCCATCTGCAGAGAACCAAGGTGAGAAAATCTATACCAGCAAAGTGTAAATATTTAAGAGGGCAGCTCTGACAAAGGAATAGAAACATACACAGAGATATAAGGGCAGACAGAAAAGAAAACAGTCCCTTTTAATAAATGTTTTAAACTGTATTAAGTATGATAGAAACAGGCATTGGGTAATTTTAAATTTATTTTGACTGATTTGAAAATTTACATTGGTACCTTGTACTATACTGTTTTTAGACATCACGTTGAAAGAAATGGAAGAACTCAATTATTGAGAAAGCAGAAATGTTTAGATTCCAGTTTTATTTCACAAAAGAAGATGCAACAGAGAACTCTTTTTAAATTGCTCAGCTTTAGCCGTGGGAAGAAAACACAGTCAACAACAGCTGTCACAGACAAATTGTACATATAGGAAAGCTTTGATGGGGATTTGGCACAGGCAGAGAGATGTGAAAGATGCAAAGTTTGTTTCAAAAAGGTGTGATTCAAAAAGAGGAAACCTTGATAATTAATCATGGGGAAAGGTGTTTAGGATGATCTTAGCCTGAAATTGAGCTTGTATGAAAATTACTGTATATCTTCCCTGTAGAAATAACCTGGAAATAACCTATTTGAGAGCAGAAGAAAAAAATAATTTAAAAAGGGTCATAGTAGAAAATAAAGAGATTTTTCCTTAGGCATTATGACATTTCCTAGCCTATTTTTGTAAAACAGACTTACAGAGATATGGGGACATTAAGGATGTGGCAAGAACAAAATAAATATTCTACCTCTATCCTTTTAAATTTAAAAGCCAGAGTTCCCAAAAGCACTCCCGTAATTTTTACACTATACTATTTTAGTAATTTTAATAATTTTCAATCATGTGTCTTTTATACTGACCAATAGTTTTAAACTGTTTTAGACAACAAATGGAACTGGTTACCACGTTCTGTAATTTTATGCATATGAAATAATGAAAGCATGAAAAAGATGAAAGGTCAGAGAACATCAGACACCTTTCTACTGATTGCTGTATTTATCATTTTTTTCACACCGATTCAGAGCTTCTCCCATGGCAACTGCAGCTTTTCTTTGACTCAGTTCTTCTGAAACCAATTCGTAAATAACTTCTTTGTGGCCGTATGTATCTCACTGTTCCTCAGGCTGTATATGAAAGGATTGAGTAATGGGGTGACCACTGTGTATACTATTGAGGCCACTTTCAACTGGGACCCAGAATAGGTATGGGATGGGCGAAGGTAGGTGCCCATCAGAGATCCATAGAACAAGGTCACAGTAGTAAGATGGGCACTGCAAGTGGAGAAGGCCTTGTACTTCCCAGATCTAGATGGAATCTTCATCACCTTGAATATGATGAAGATATAGGAGAAGAGAATGAATAAGAGGGGCCCAAGAAGGGCAGTTGAACCTTCACTGACTAAGACCATTTCAACTAATGAGGTATCAGAGCAGCTGAGCTTCAATAACGGATGGACGTCACAGAAAAAATGAGGAATTTCCTGGGAATTACAAAATGTAAAATCAGATACCAACAGTACATACAGCAAAGAATGGGCATGAGCCAAGAGCCAAGATGTAGCAGCTAATCGTAAAGCACATTTATAGTTCATGATTCTGGTATAATACAAGGGTCGGCAGATGGCTACATAGCGGTCATATGCCATAGAGGTCAGGAGAAGGTTATCTGCCGTACAGAATATCACAAAGAAGTACAACTGTGTTAAGCAACCATTAAAGGATATGGTATTTGACTGAGAAACCAAGCTCTGCAGCATTTTAGGCACAATTGAAGAAGTAAATCCAATGTCAGCCAATGACAAGTGAGAAAGAAACAAATACATGGGCGCATAGAGGAGACTGGCATTAGAGAAGATCAATAAGATTATTAAGAGGTTTCCTAACACACAAAGCAAGTACATAAAGAGAAAGATGAAAAAGAGAAATCCTTGGACATCTGGTGAGGAGGAGAAACCCAGGAGGATGAATCCTGCAAAGTTGGTTTGATTCTCTTGATGTTTTTTCATGATTCATCTGAAAATGGAATCAGATGGATAAAAATGCATTTATGTTTACATTTCTGGCCTGTATTTCCCCTAGGGAAAGAAAAGGAGAAAAACATACTTTAGACACAACAGTAACTGCTACAGTAATTTCTCTTCTTTAAGACAATATTTGACTCAACAAATATAAGAATATTCGAAAAAAATAGGGGGGAAATTATTTGTCTCATTATATGCCTGGGAATGATAAAGACTTACATAAAATTTACTTCATAAGGAAGAAGTTGTAATGGTGAAGACTTAAGTTGGGCATTTAGTATTCTGTACTGCTTAGTATAAAAGTCATTCAATCCTACTTTGGGGCAAAAACCAGTTTAATTTCTTTTATTCACAGAATATCTCAAGTAGTGATGAAAAGCTGCTGTGAAAAACAGCAGATTCCATGTTGGAGCTTATTAGGAATGGAATAAAAATATATAACGGTCAATATCCAAATGATTTTATATTGCAGTTGTGTTTAATAGTACAGGGCCATTCTGAATACTATATTTGAGAAGGATATTTAGAACTGGAAAGGAAGCTCAAGCAAATTTCTCTTGAGAAGGGTTACAGCTTTTGATTTTAGAAAAATAGGGATGTGAATGGGGACAAGAAATTGGATACAATGCTATGCAATGTACAAAAATGGGTTGAAAATCTTTTTCTTTTAAAATTAGAAAAACTAAGATCAATGAGGTGATCCTAGGTTTTCTAATTTTCTAAAATTGAATGAGGCATTTTGTCTGTACAACTTTATGGAAGAGAAGGCTATGAATAGCTTCTCCTTGTGATGATAATATGGCAGAATATGCTCATTTCCTGTTATTGAGTCTGTTATCTGCACCTCTATAACTGTCTGGTTTGCCTCTACAACCAAAGAAGATAGATACAGATTTCAATGGATACCAGTAATTAGAACTGCAGAAAAAACTATTGCTACCAACCTGCCTTCCATTGAGGACCTATATACAGCACAAGTCAAAAAGAGGGCTGTGAAAGAATCTACAGACCCCTCACATCCTGGACATAAATTGTTTCCACTTCTACCCTCGAAATGATGCTATAGGATTCTGCATACCAAACAACAAGACACAAGGACAGTTTTTTCCCGAATGCCATCACTCTGCTAAACAACTAATTCCCACAACACTGTCAAATTAACTACTAAGACTGTATTACTATTCTTCTCATCCTTACTAGTACCTATCTCTTCCCACTGATAGTTATATCCATGTTGCTTGTATCTTTACAACTTACATTGTTTTTATTGTTTCCTAGTATGATTTGACTGCTTATTAGTATCCTATGACTATCACGAAGTGATGTATCTTATGATTCTTGATGAATATATTTTATTTTTTCTTTATGTACACTGAGAGCATATGCACCAAAGACAAATTCCTTGTGTGTCCAATCACACTTGGCCAATAAAGAATTCCTTGAGTGAGGAATATGACTGTAAGATTGTTGTGCTATTCATTTCTTGCTTGTTGACTTCCCATAAGCAGGTGGCTGACTCCTGCTGACCCAGAATGCTGGCTTTAATAATTAAATGGACACACATAACTCTCCCTAAATTCTTAATTCATGCTGAAGGCTATTCTATAAATCTCCCAAATTTGAGCATCAAGAAAGGTCAGGCAACCAAGATGGGAGGAAAAGTTGCCTCTGTACCAATTTCTGTCTCTGCCACCAGCCATTCTGAACACACAATGACGCTCTCCATTTCAACTTCAGAGAAGTTTCAGCAGCATGAGAATGTGAAACAAGAATCCAGAGAATTTAGAGATTCTGAGAAACAATGGCCAGAATGATAACTAGAAAAAGATACAGTTGGTCATGATTGTCAAGAGGTAGAACGTAAGGATTTCTAGATCTACCTGCCCGATGGGTCTCCCTAGCTTCATGCTATCACTTCACATGCATGCATATGTAAAAAGAAAAAATGTTACCTACTAATTGTGATGTCATAGGATCCTACAGAGTTGACTTCAAAATTCCTTTGCCAATAGCACATTTCCCTCTTTCTCTGAAATGACTGTTCTGTAGCATTGGAAAAAGAGCAGGCTGCCTTATACTGGCAGAACCCATTTATCCATCTTTGTATACACTGGGTAGTGGCAGTAGAAGGGTTTCCACCATGCATTTCCAAGCCTCTTTGTTGATAGCTATGGATTATGTCTGGAGCATTCTGACATATGATTCATTTCCCCTAAGCAACAGCCCTTCTCCTGACTGTTACAAAAGGTGAATGTGTGAATCTTCCATGTTATTTAGCCAGTGAGTTTACACCACAACCAGAACTCAGTTCCTTATGGATTCTTGTCTCCTTCTCCTTACGAAGTCTCCTTCTTCATGCTGCAATCTCATCCACCATGCCTATACATCCTTGTATTTATCTCCCAGCTTGCAAAATGAAGGTTTGTAGAGGGATACTTAAAAAAAATAACAGCTGCAGAAAGAGGAACCATGCAACATCATTCATATTGCATTCATATTACAATCCATACTGAGGGCATATGAGTAGAAGGAAGACCGTAAGAATTTGGAGTTCTGTGTGAATGATCATACTGAGTGCCTTCTACTGAAGGAAAGCATTCATCCATCTCACCCAGTCCTTAATATCCTGACCTCTCCATGGAGGGGCTTCTTCTGACAAGCTCTTCTCCCAACCCTATTTGAGGATGGCCAAGGAGTTCCATTGTGATATTCATTATCTACAGCCTCTTTTACAGTGGTGGAATTCAAATTTTTTACTACTGGTTCTGTGGGCATGTCATGGTCGGCTTGGTGTGGCTTGGTGAGTGTGGCAGGGGAAGGATACTGCAAAATCTCCATTCCCACCCCATCCAGGGGGAAGGATATTGCAAAATCTCCATTCCCACCCCACTCTGGGGCCAGCCAAAGGTGGTATTTTCCAGTTCTCCTGGACTACTCCAGGAGTAGTCTCCTGGACTACTCCTGGAGTAGTCCAGGAGAAAATCTGGACTACTCAAAATTTTCACTACTGGTTCTCCAGAACCTGTCAGAACCTGCTGAATTGCACCCCTGCTCTTCTACCCAACTGAGGATCAACATTTCCCATCTAAGGTCTCCTTCCCAGGAAGTCCAAATGGAGGAACCTAACTCTTTCCATAGCAATATCTTTTCACTGCTGAATCACCTTCTCCCATAACAACCCTTTGTGGCTATCCTACTTTGCACAGAGATAGTTTGAATGGAAGTAATTGGAGGGAGAAGGAAGGCTAAAGAAGGAATTACATTTATTCTAAGTTTCACTCAGCGTGCAGAGGTTGCTCTGGGATATAAATTTTGTAGAAGAAAGAAGTTCCATGCAATTGTAGGTATAGAATAAAATGTTGAATATTGAATAAAATGTTCAGTGAGATCCTGCTTTCAATCCATAAAACACAAAGCTATACTGTACCTCCAATGGATCCACTGAGAACCAATTCCATGTTAAGCAAGAGATTCTGTATCTTTCAGCCCAATTGAGAATAAGCTCCTAGGCTCTGTGGTGGAATATTTTCTTTCCCAAAGCAAATATATATATATATGCAGTGGAAGAAATTAGGATGCATTCAGTAAGGAGGTAGAGTTGGCTCCCAAATGGAGAGTAATTGCTATTTTTAAAAAAAGAGTCATTAGGGAACTTGATAGTATATTTCACAAACCCAAGTGACATAAGATTCGAGGATTAATGCAAAACAGAGATCTTGGGACAAATAGTATTTAATTTCACCCAAGGAATAACTCAAACAATATCTCCAGCAACTGGGGGCAACCTCCCAAAATTTTCTCCAGTGTGGCATATGATACTAGTTATCACAATTGTTCCTTTCTAGCTCTGTGAGATGGAAAACTAGTACTTGGACTGTTTGTGGTGGTGAACATTGTTAACTAGCAAAAACACGTAGAATTATATCCTGCTTCACAATGCTTTATAGCCCTCTCTAAGCAGTGTACAGAATCAGCATATTGCCCCCAACAATCTGGGACCTCATTTTACCCACCTCGGAAGAATGGAAGGCTATGTCAACCTTGAGCTAGTCTGGATCAAACTCCTGGCTGTTGGCAGAGTTAGCCTCCAATACTGCAGTCTAACCACTGCACCACTTCAGCTCCTCATATCTAGAAAATTCTCTGTCTGTCACTTTAGAAATGTCTCAGGAGAGAAAATGCATCATTGATATGACAAACAGCCTTCTACCACCATTAAGCAGCTAATTACTCTTGAAGTGTCTGCCTGAGTTGGGGCCTTATGGCATACCATTGCAGAGCTGCAAAGTGAGCAGATTAATGATACTCTCTTATTTATTTATTTATTTATTTATTTATTTATTTATTTATTTATTTATTTATTTATTTATTTATTGGTTCGATTTATATACCGCCCTTTTCCGGAGACTCAGGGTGGCTTACAATACGTTAAGCATAGCCTTCATACTTTTGTATATACCTGCTTAGTAGGGCTTTCGGGGGGCCCTTAAGCGGTGTTCTTCTTTATACAAAGTCAGCTTATTGCCCCCACAAACTGGGTCCTCATTTTACCTACCTCGAAAGGATGGAAGGCTGAGTCAACCTTGAGCCTGGTGAGATTTGAACTTGCAGTAATTGCAGGCAGCTGGTGTTACTTAACAGTGCTTTAGTCTGCTGCGCCACCACGGCTCTTATGAAGTAGGGCCACGGGCTAGAACTCCACTTCAAAGGAAAGATATACAGAAAGCCACTCCAGAGGAGAGAGGTTTCTTCCAATGTAGTAGTCCGAAATATAAATGTATTTGAATAAAATGATTATGTGATGCTGGCTGCTAATGGATCTCTCTTGGAATATGTTGAAAAAATAAATATACAGGGATGGATGGATGGATGGATGGATGGATGGATGGATGGATGGATGGATGGATGGATATATACACAGAGAGAGACTTTTTTAAGATAAAGGAGATAAAAGTTTTTGAATTATTTGAGAAGCTAATTAAAAGCTTGGAATAACCTGGAATAACTAGACCTAACATGAAAAGAGTTGTTGGCTTAGCAAGAA